GAGTCAGAATAGTGCTCTTTGAAAATGGAAGGTTGGAAAGCCCTGGTCAACAGCCTGATCATTTCTTCCAGGTTTGCATTCTTTCTTTTGACAAAACAATGTTTTAGAGTCATATCTTTGAGGGAAAAATGTAAGCATCATGGTTGAATGTACTTTGGTGGAATAAAAAAGTCCATGTACACAGCTATGCTTTCTTTCAACAGGTTGTCTCCATATACAATAATACAACACTGAAGCTCAGTGGGTTGTTTATTGTTGCTTTTGTAAATAACCCTGGAAATAACAAAAGCTCATTTTGCTAGATTCTTTCTGCATTCATCTTTTCAGTGGGAAAAAAATAAGTGTGTACTTTCTGTTCTTCAGGTCTGCTCAGTATAACCAGCCTGTTGCAGGTGGAGTTTTTTCAGTCTTTTCCAAATGACATACTTAAGCAAAATTCTATATTTAAAAAATATTTTCACTTTTGTTTTAGCGAGCTTTTCAGCCTGGTAGGAATTTTTAAAAAAACTTGTTCTTGGAGGTTTTTTTGATCTTGTCCCTATCTTTTTTTTTAAAAAAAATTATACTTCTCTACATGCATCTCCCAGCTTCCTCACCAGGTGACATTGCATTTTTCCCTTTCACTGTGGTACCACTAGCGTGGTTTCTCCTGACTGACTTGACTTCAGGATACATCCAGCAAACACAGTGAAGCTGTGCATCTGATACATGGGCACATTAAGGGCTTTACTACTCAAGAGAATCTTCTGTGTAGTTCTCCAGAGAGCAAAGTGTTTGCACGTTGTTCGCTTTCAAACGTGGAAGTACAATGACACCAGATGTACAAGGTAAATACCGCTTCATGCCTTAGTACGGTAAGCCTCAAAGGCCTTGATTGGGAGTAGAATTTTGGGGAATGCACTTCCTTCCAAGGTGGCTATCCTCCACAGCAGAGGTAGGAAAAGCATCCCCACCATAATCAGCAGGCTCATAGATTATATAAAAGTACATTTTTTTTCTTGAAGGGTGTGCTCTTTATCCTCTCCTCTTGTAAGACAACCTCCAAAAGGCAATCTCCACAGAGTCCAGAAGTATCCTGTAACAAAATTCCAGCTTGAAAACAGAAATTCCATAGAAATGCAGTAATTGCACAAAGAGTTCAACTTTTCCACATGAGATGAACAGATGCAGCTCTAGAAAGCAGTTTTGGAACTCCCACGCTTCCACCTCAGGCTTCCAGGTTCCCCATGGAATGTCATTGAGGTAACATTGGCCAGGGACCCACAGGGAAATTGTTGGGCTTCAGGGGATGCTGGTTTCTGTTTCCCAGCATGTATAATGACCAGTAAGCCTTCCTTTTGAGACATCTTTGCACAGGCTCCACAGTAAAAGCAACTTCACAGAGAGCATACTTTATTGTCAAGATAAGCTCATAACTGGCAAAGGTAATCCAATTTTTTTCTCATTAAAACTCGTGAGAATCAGCTCCCCTCAAGGTCTAGATAAAATAATTAGGAAAAAGGCAAAGAAATTCTTATATAGGCAGTTTTAGGCAGTTCTAGAATTTTAGTGCCAAATCTGAAGTAGGAGAAGGGAGAAACATAGAAATGCAGCCACCACAGATACAGATTGATTTTTTTTTTTTTTTTTTTAAAAAAGACTGGAACCATACCTTGGCACTAACAAGGAGAATGGGTGTAAAGAACTAAGCTGTTATATAGTTACCGTATTTTTATGGCTTCCAGAAGTCAGTTTAGTAGCCAGCCTAACTTAGAGTGCATGCAAGCCTGTTCTAATTTTGGCTACAGTGATGTTCAAGGAAATATTCAACCCTCCTTGCTTGCTGTTTCTTGCAAAAAGCGTAACAATGTTTCATTTAAGATTTTCTCTGTAATAAATATAACTGTATACTCAAATTTGTATGTTCCATTCTCAAACACATACACTATAAGCAATTTCAAAATAGCTAGCATTAACTTTAGAGTGCTGAATTATAAAAAAAATACAGTCACTAAACACAGTGAAGTTAAGAAAATGGATACAAGAAAAAACCCTATCTACTTTATTAGTTTCTCTTGTTTTTAAGCTTGAGTAGATAACAGCATTTCAGAATTTGTAGTCTAAACTTAATAAGGTATGGTACTGAAAATGGAATGTTAAGACACAATGTTTCCTTCAGTCATTTTATTATTGAATTAGTTTTCCATTTACCAATGCAATCAGTTTTATTTTATGATTGATCACAGAAGTATACCATACTATTGCTTACATTATATACTATTCCTAGTATTTATGCCCTTATAGTAAAAAGTTGCCTTGTGTTGAAGAATAGAGATTGAACAGAAATGCTTTCAAATGTTTGAAATACTTTCTAAAAAATAGCATGTATATAGTTCTGTAGGTTTTACCAGAGGTGTATAATTTTTCAGCATTACGTCTTAATGCCAATTTCCTGAAGGAGCTTTGACTACAAAAGGCATGAATATGTTTTCAAAGGATGATGGATAAATTGGTGGGTGGTAATATAATATATCTTAGGCAGCTGATCAGGGCTTTTTATCCTCTACTTGTCTTTTAGTTATACACAATTTCAAGATAATTATGGTCTATAAGAATGTCTTTTCCCCTTCCTACTACCAGCAATATTTGTCTTGGTTATAGGTTCAAGAGACTTCCAATCACATCATAAAATTAGAATAGGGCAACTATGGCATCTCAGCAGAGAATTGAATGTATAAATAGACTGACCACACAATACAGACATAAGGCAGTTAATGAATTGCCTTTATGTAAAACACCAGTTAATTAGAATACTAGCTATAGAATATACTGAATCCATACTTGAATTTTATAACATAAAAACCAAGCATAAGATGTATAATTCAGGTTGATATGTACCACATCTCTGTTGCCTTTCCAGTAAAGAATGCAGTCCAATCGCATACTGAAAATAATTACTAATCTCATTAAATAAAATTAAATGTTATTTGACAGCTAGGTATGTTATATTAAAATCCTGACTTGGTGGAGACAGCTCATTTGTATGACAGGAGAGGACTTCTTGAAGCACCTGAATGTACCCTCCTTTAAAAAAATCAAGTGAGGCACTCATAGGGAAAAATCCTCTATTTCTGTGATTTGGAGACCTAACTGTGGCCAATGCCAGCCTTAGATCGACTTTTCCCAGGTGAGGCAATAATGTTTTTTAGGTACACATACTGGCATTTCAAGAAGTGTCTAAGCTTTCCAAGTGTGAGAGTACATAATTTTCTAGATTGATGCCTAGCATACTGCAGGGTTATTTCACTGAAGCAATTTCCAGACAGCAATACAAATCAGAGAAATCAACTCTACTATGCCTTGTCTGTCAAGCAAAGGAAGTGTTGAATAGTCAAGGTAAGAGTAAAAGAGCATAGACAAGAGTATTGTTGGATATATAAACACACAGAGGGAGAAAACAAGACAAAATTATGTTTTCCTCAACTTTCCTGTAGTAGTATTGTCCACCTATTTAGAACCTCTTACAGTTACACCACTATGAGTTACAACAGAGGAATGTAGTACTATTATCCAGCATCTGCCCCTGAAAAGTAAGAAGGAAAACTTATTCTAAATTAGATAGCAGAGCTCAATGAGTCACATCGAACTAACGGACCACAAACTCAAACTGGTACAAGAGGGATAGATACATGTAACAATGTCTGTTGCTTAACTTGCAAAAGCATAAAAATAACAGGCTCTAGGAAAAAAATTGCATGAACAATTGATTCAAAGGTGACTGAAAGAAGAATAAAATGTATGTTAGCTACTGCATTTTAAGAAATTTTAATGCCGTGCAATAAAAATATTAATTTGAATAATTTTGACAAGAAAAACAATGGCAACGATCATGTAATGCACAGTCAGAGAGTCAATGACTTGATTATCAGTTACTTAAAATGAAATATTATTAAAACATACAGCATGTTCTTAGGTAGTTCATACTTCACAATCAAAATCTAACCTATTTGTTTAGGCTATATGCTAAACCACGAGAACGAACGATAAAAATTTCACCCCTATATGAACCCTCTTTAGGTTCAAGATCATATTAAAAATTATTAGATTTTTCATAACCACAATCATATAATTTCATTAAGGATATACTTTTTCATGAAGATAATACTGAATAGATAAGGCATAGAATCTACCATCACTAGGTAGGAAAAAAGAAAAGTTATCATTTTGTCCAGAAATAGTCTCTGAAGACTCTTAAGGAAATAGCCAGACTTCACTTGATGCAGAAGTAATCAGTAAATTATATGTTACTTCTGATATTAGAAAAAAGCAGCCTTAGAAAGACATAAAATATTTAATGAAATTTTGTAAGATTATCCTCACACTTCAGCATTTTTTGCAGTGTTGATCAGGCTCTTTTCCTTATATAATTTCCTTATAATGAAAACTGTCAGTGTTTGATTAGGAGCTCACTGAAGTCTGAAAGGAACCTTTCTATATGACCTGATCCAAAGCTGACCATGTTTCCTAGCAGAAAAAAGACAGTCAGAATGAAATACATGTGTAAAGGAAGTTGTAAAGATGTTAAAAGGTATTTTTCTTTTCTATAGGAAACTACAATAAATATCTACACAAATTGTACACTGTTTTCACCACAATATATTGGAAGCAGCTTAACTACTCTTCCTGATAGGCAGGTGGAAACTGTAAACAGTTGAGTTTACTCAAACCATTCGACTAAGCCAGCTAGTCTGTCTGGTTTTTGTCCGTAACCAAAAAAAAGCAGGCTCCTAGCCTGATTTGGCCTGGGGAGGATCTTACTCCATTGCCTGTAGATGGAGCCTACTGAGTTAAATTTAATTCCCAAATCTGGCTAGTGTAAATACTCCTGCACTTCCCAACACATTCTTATGATTCACCAAGATTAGTTAATTTCTTACTACACAATAGATACACTTTAAAATGTATTTAAATTCATGAAGAGATTACAGCTTTACTTGTCAAAAACTATGAGTATTCTTTACCTTTAAGATGTTGTCAGGATGCTCTTTAGCAGAAGCAACAAACAAGTCATGTCCACAGACAACTCCCTCTGCGAGAAAATACTTCAACAACAAATTACAGTAAAGACCATATTTATCTTCCTCTGTGAAAACAAAAATGGTTGGAATTTTTTCTTTTTTTGTCAGATAAATCACCCACCTGTATTTTCATAACACTGTAAAAGCCCTTTTTTGGCCCACCTCCTAGATTATATAATGTACAACAGAGATAATAGGTAAAATATGATTCCAAAGCTTTAAAAATAATGCTTGATAATACTGTATTCCTATTTTTTCAAGCCAGAGAAATAGTTCTCAATCAGATATTTGATTCTAAGATATGGATGGGATACAGCAATAGTGTTATCTTCCTAACAAGGTTTCCCGTAAGCATCAACTAAGATTACCGAAATCACAGTTCAAAGGGAAAGGCTTTTGATCATTGAGTTAATATTTATATTCATAGAATCATAGAATGGTTTGGTTGGAAAGGACCATAAAGATGAGCTAGTTCCAACTCCCCTGCCATAGGCAGGAACACCTTCCACTCGACCAGGTTGCTCAGAGCCTCATCCAACCTGGCTTTGAACACTTCCAGGGATGGTGCATTCACAACTTCTCTGGGCAACCTGTTGCAGTGCCTCACCACCCTCACAGGGAAGAATTTAGCATCTAATTTAAAGCTACCCTTTTTCCATTTTAAGTCATTGCCCTTTGTCCTATCGCTACATGCCCTTGTAAAAAGTCCCTCCCTCTTAATGCTTAAAATATTAATCAACTTGCTTAAAATATCTATTAATAGATGCTTTAATATTTAATATTTAATATTTGGCATGCTAAAGGTATATAAAGGTATCAATTCTTAAAGAGACATTCTTACATCTGCATTTCTTTCAGAACTGCTAGAACTGCAAAAATAGGCAAAACAAATGGATATATTGAAAAAACAGAAAATTTGCAATGCCATTTTTGAAAGCTATCCAGAGCAACATCATGAACACATTCAAAAGACACATGAACTTACAGTTTAAGAAGTGAGACAATACTTTCTAACAGACATTGTGAATACTAGCCTTCTGAAATAAAAATACAAACTCCCACTGGCTTCAGAAAGGCTAGTATTTCCTTCAGCTTTTTTGTTGCAAGTTAAGTATCATAAATTACCAGAATTAGAAAGTCTCAATGAGCTTCAAAGAATTAAAACTTACCATAACTCAAAACTATGGAGGAAGTGAACGAGTAAGTAACAACTGAAATTTGAACCATCTCTGGTTTTCTTTATTTTTTGGAAATAACAATAGCAATGTTAATGCTAGCAAAAAAAAAACCTAACAATCTAACTACCCAGTTCTTTGTCCAGTAAAATTTTAGATCACGCCCTTTGGAACAACATACATTTATTTAGAAAGATTATCTGAAATATTTTGTTTGGGAGAAAAGTAAATGCAACAATGTAACATTTCACTTTTTCATCTGTTAATCTGGCTGTTGGAAGATAATATACAGGGATATTGTGGCAGAAAAATACAGATAGATAGATTTTCTTTATGCAGAACCAACAAGATTCTTAATCCATTCTTTGCATGACTTGGAAACAATTTCCTCCCTATTACAAATCTCATATGAAAATATTAAAAAAGAAAACTCCAAAGCCAACAACAAAGGCTGAAAATAAGAAAGTTGTCATTCATATCTAACTTCTAAAAAATATTAAAGAAGGAAAACAAAAAGAATATAACTTTGATACATATCAGAATAGTATGCTTTGGAGCTTAAGAGTTAAAAAGAACCAATGAAGTGGAGTGCGAGGAAAGAAGGGAGGAAAGAAAGAAGAAGGGAGGAAAGAAAGAAGAAGGGAGGAAAGAAAGAAGAAGGGAGGAAAGAAAGAAGAAGGGAGGAAAGAAAGAAGAAGGGAGGAAAGAAAGAAGAAGGGAGGAAAGAAATAGCGTCAAAATTACTTACTTTGTTGTTAAGGAGAAATACTTAAATAAGTTTCCCTTTCATTAAACCCAAGAAATGAACTAGAAGTGACTCTAAAGCAACATTTCAAGATAGAGAAAAATGTTTCGTAACACAGTCATTGAGACAGGAAATTACATAAAACTGGACATCCAAATAAGCCAAAGGCAAAACAATAATTACAACACTGTCATTACTAGTATTAGTCATTGATATGTTCAGTTTACTGTAGAGTCTGAGGGTTTTAAGAACTCAGATTGTATTAATATAATTTACCTTTCACACTGTTAACCTGCTTAGTAGGCCATACTAGCCTTCTAACGTACTTTCAATAACACATTTATTTTTATTTTTAGAAATAACAGTCTAGTGAAAAATACAGACAGAGCAGTATTGTGAAAAGTACAGTACTGACAAAAGCTTACTGTTGACAGCACTGGCTTCCTTATTAAAATTTCAGCAGGTATTTCCAAAAGCATTACAGAATTACAAACTGCAATTTCCTTGAAAGTTTGGAGCTTTTAATTAAATACTTCATGTCATTTACTATCACATGCTTAAAAAGCCATAGTGTTACTGAAGAACTGTTTTCCTAGCAACTCAGCTCCATACATTGTGCTTCAACTGAGGATGTGGATCCATGTATGAGACTAGGATGGAGACAAGACTCAATTCAGATAAAACTGAAGCATTACAGCTGCAGAAGCAAAAAGTAGAACTGACACTATCTAAAGTTTTGAAGAAGTATTACAGTCTCATTTTGTAAATATAGTTTTTGGAGCCTGCTTAGATCTTAAACTGCTTCAACAAGAGAAAAATAAAACTCATATGGAGGTAATTCTCCCCTATAACTGAAGTCCAGGAATATATACCGCTCCTGCCTGCTAAATGTTGTCTCTCTCTAGTTATTTATGCTTTGGTTGCTTACTGCAATATAATTGGTAATATATTATTCACAGTATATTGACTTCCATGTGCTACTCTCCATCTACAAAGCTCTCAATTTAAGAGCCAAAGCCATCTAGAAATCATAGTGACACCATGATATCTACTATTTATTTTTTTTTAATTATCCGAGCTACCTGAAAGACACCACCAAGCCTCCCATATAATCCCATCACTGCAGCAGATGTCAGTGGAGGGAGCCAGTTTTGTTAGACCTCCTTCCCTTTGAACAAAAGAAGAAAAGGGACACTAGTCAGGTGCTCTGGAAGGATCCTCAGCTGTAACATTTACGTCATCCTTGGTGAATCAAGAATCTTGATTCATTCATTTTTATCTACAGGTTAAAGTTCACCTTCTTCACCATTTGAGGCAGAGAAACACTGAATTGTATTGCATATGGACAGGACTTAACTGACATTTAATGGAATAAAAGCCAGTATCTCATTTAGCCCAAGTATTTTATGGTTTGTGTACGTGCGTGCAACCATACAGTCTTTCTGGATCATCATTTTTGATACTAATTATTCCTTAGAAAGTAAGCAACATGCTCGATTTTGTGCCAAACGTAACACGGAAACTCCATAAACCATGGATAAATATACGAAATTGTACTGTGTGTTGATGATTACTTAACTAAACTAAGAGGAAATAAGGCTGCAGTAGTTAAGAAGAATTTTTACTCAATTTTGATTTGAAATGCAGAAATGTTAAAACCAACTATAGAATTGAAGCAATGAGAACCAGGGATATAAACCCTTTTACTGACTCATCCAAGTTTATAATTCTTTTTGTTGAGTGATAGACTTATTTGTAATATAACAGGACTAGAGAGGTTCTTACACTGCCATACCCTTCCAAAACATATTTTGCAAAACAATAAGGAATTTTCAATTTAGAAAACTAAAAATATTTACATTCAGTGTAAGGACATATCATTCTAGCATTAGCCTTTCCTTCAGTTTTCTTACATTGATTTTCATAACAGTAAACTTACAGTAAAAATAGGAAATGAACTATTGGAGAGTGATCTAAATATAAAACACCTTGTAGTCTGCTACAGTACTCTAAGGATTAAATGTGTCTCAGAAAGCCTTTACAAACAGTGTATCTTGAATTGTTAAAGTCAATGCATCTGTAAGAATCCCTCAGTTCTTCAATTTGTCAGATAGAGGATGGCTTTTTATTGATTCATTTCTAGGTCACTAAACTTTTGTGGTATTCAAAAGATCTAAAGTGCACCCATATGGGGCTTTTCTGATAGCATCTATTGTACCCGGGCTTCAATAGTTACGTTACTATTCAAAACCATAGGAGTACAGCTTTCTTCTTGTAAATAAACAAACAATTCATTTAGCACAGGTACTTCAGTGGCTCACTGATTACTTTCATAGATGAATGAAATACTTTGAAGTATATTTGTTTTCTGGTAACGCTTGGACTTACTATTTTGATGGCTAGGATAAATTCTCAAACGGTATCTTTATTTTTCAAAATTACACCCACATCCAAAAGAACTATCTCCATTCTGTATGGAGAAACTAACACATAAGTGCATTTTAGTCAGCAAAATACTTAAGACAAGCCTGGCCCAAATCTTTATTCTTTAGCCTCCATACTAAAGGGCTGTGCTGTCAGCAGCCTTCATTGTGAACTTTACTTCTAGCTAATAAAGCACATAAACAAATAAGACTCTTGCAGCTGCAGACTCTTTTCTGAGTTCAGTCACTGCAAGTCACACAACAGTCTGCAGCGCGCTCTGATTCTTTTTGAACAAAGAGCGTTCTACAGCTAAGTAGCAGGTGAGTAACTAGTGAAGCGTAAAACTATACAAGGAAAAGAGATTATTTACCTAGAAGTTATGCATATTGTCTCCAGGACAAAACCTCTTCTGATCCTTCAGATAAGGACATAAATAAAATAGTTTATTGTGATCATTATCCATTGGTCTTTTGCCACACAACAGTATGCTTTCATGGCTAAAATAGTCATGAAGAAAAAAGCAGCATTGTCAGTATCAGTGCAATGAATTCCAATATATAACCATGTTGAAAACTAAGGATAAAGAGCAATTCCTATTTATGGCTCTTTTCACCCCTAGACTGTATAGGCTACTGAACACGTAAGAGACATTCTCAACATCTCTGTGCCTGGACTACTTGTAGCTACTACTCAGAGAAATCAGTGGGTCGTAGAACTAGATACAAAATTTTAAGGCACTGCAGTTTAGCTAGGGCACAGAAAACAAAGAGAGCAGATACGAGTAAGGCACTGTAAATATGTAATTTATATAAAAATTAAGGGCAAAAATCTCATCTAATTATAGAAATCGGTATGTAAACATGTGGCCTTAAGAAAAAAATCTCTAGCCATAACCACTCCCTCTGCACTAAAACTGTGTGGCTTAAAAAAAAAAATCTTTAGCCATAACCACTCCCTCTGCACAGAGGTATTCATGTTCCAAGAGGAGGATGGAGAATAAAAATAATAAAAATATAATTTGAAAAGGAAAAAAAAAGTCACAAACAAAATCTTCCATAAGGTAACAAGCACGTATAGATCATATTTCTAATAGCTGACTTTTAAACATCAGTATACTAAATGGCATGAAGGTCTTTGAAAAACTCCAGAAGTAATTTGTACTATAATTGCTTAAAATGATGAGACCTATAAGAGGAAAAAATAAGACTGCAACAATGTAATGCACAGATAGCTTATTTTATTTCCTCTGTACAAAGTCTAGACAGGTTGCCCTAAAGCTGCCAAAAGCCTGTCATAGCCTATCAGTATTGATCATTTTTTCACCAGATACTTCTACAGTAGAGTATTGTGACCTAAGGTGTGTCTTTCTGTAGCTATGAACTATCTCTCTGAATTGCTGCAGGTTATAAGATACGATTATTTTAATAATCTGAAATTCCATTTAAAAGATACTTTACTAATGTCCATATTTACTAAGCTTGAGGGGATATACTTTGTGTCACTTGCATTTAATTAGCACATGCCAAAACAGAGTTGTCGAACATATAAGTTACAATATTTGGCATTTGGCCATACTTCAGGAAGGTGAATTCTGGTAACTTGTATTTTGTAGAATTATATTTAGCAAATCACTGTTTTGTACCTCTCTGGAGATTATCTTTTTCAGCTTTAAAAAGATGATAAATTCAATTACATTGACAAGCGAAGAGAGCTCTTACCAGTCAGGTTAAATAACATGTCTAACAAAAATAATAGTAGCTAATTAAAGTAGCTGAAACTGCTTTAAGGCTTAAAATGTACTAGTATAGACCTGCTTTTAACCAGACAACTTTAAACTTTTAATAATTGACCTGAGCTACCAACAAAACTCCTCCTACAGATAATCTTTAAAACATTTAGCCATCAATGACCTCGTCAAAACTAGAGCATCTTAAAGGTATGCAAGAATAGGTTCTTATAGGGTACCCAGGACAGACCTATTAGAGTGTGCTGCAACTCACTAAGCAGAATGTGCTATATAAACAAGGCTTATATTTAAAAAACAAAATAAGATCCTCCCTGAAACTCCTCTTGAGGCTGGTAAAACAGACATACAACAGGTTGAAGTGTATCAGAGAGGGGAGTCTGGAAAGAAGTCTGCTTAATCAACAGCTATACTATTTGTTTTGAAAGGGGAGATTCTTCTAGAAAGCTAATCTGGAGCAGTTTAAGATGAAACAACAAACACATGGTCTTACATTCACATTGAACAAACTGTTTTGATAGTGTTCAAATTTCATTTCACGCAGAGTCAGGATGCTTGTTTTACCACTTCTTATACACCCACTACAGTAAGATCTTTTGAAACTAAAGTACTAGTTAAAATCCTAAACATTCTTGCTATATGAACAAATCCCAGAAAGTTTCAAGTTCCACTAGTTGCATGAGACTACCATGTGCTTCAACTCTTAATTCTCACATAAACAAAACACTGTCAAAAGAATATATTATAGAACTAAGTTCAACTGAAAACCATGATGCTCTTTATTATGAATCAGGTTTTAAAAAATTGTGCACTTATATTTCAAACAATATTTTACAGTCTTATCAAGTAACCTGTGCCATTACTACATCTTCAGAACCAACAGTTAAAATAAATATTTTAATACCCTGAATCTACTATTATTTGGTTAAATTAACCAAGATAATGTGTCAAATAATGAAGATGAGCATTTAATTTGCAAAGGGAGCTAAGCTAAAAGTAATGCAATTTATTCTTGCCTTAGAGAATGTTGAAGGAAGGGGGAAGAATTTAACCTTTTTGTAACACTTGGAGTACAACACAGAGAGATCTTCCTAGGAGGTTTATCACTGACAGCTTCAATCTTGTATAATATTAAGCTTGCCTAGACTAATCTCATGACAGAATTTTTTCGTATACTGGCAGGTTATTCTAACAATGCAGTTACAATTCTACCTGCACCAACTTTAAAAATTAGTTTAAAAATTTTTAGACTAACGTCTCATAATTAAATATAGTTCTTACTCTAAGACTTTTTGTATATAATTATATTTTTCAAAATAATACATGGCAAGTCTTATTTGGGAAAAAAAATTAGCTTTCAAAAAGAGAGATTCTCCTTTGTGTTTCTGTGAGGCTAAGTTTTATATCAGATCACAAATAAACAACCAACATAGGGGATAAGTACATTAAAACCCACCACTGACTTTTGCCAGCTATGCACTCAGAGGAGCAGAAAAAAAAATTCAGGTAAAAATCCTATCATTTTCAAATCATTGAGCCTTGTCATCTCTTTCATTAGAACACAAAACTCACTGCCTTCGTACTTGCTTCATCTGGTGCCATTAAGGTCAGGTCAAACGGATAGCTAACCCTATGCTCAACAGTAGCCAGAAGCAGATATTTAGGAAGAGGTAATAAGAACTGAACAAGCAAATCTGATGCTTCACCCAAGCACTTGCTCAGCCTCCCACCATTTGTAGCTCAAGGACTTCCTTAGCCGGACCTGGTATCCACTAACCTAGTAATGCAAATGGCTTTCTCTTCCATCAAGCTGCCCAGTTTCCACTGAGACCATGACTTTTTTTTACATCCATAACACTCTATAGTGAAGTATTCTACCACTTAATCACATACCATCTGAAGAACGACTTTTGTTTAATTACAATTTTCCAGTTAGTAGGTTCATTTGATGCCACTCGGTTTATCAATTGGAATGGGCAGTGAATTTGTAATGGGAAGGCAAAAGCAAACTCGTCTACTTTCATAATATCTGATCTGTGTAAAATATGGTAGGTTCTAACATTTTTTTCCTTCTTCCTTTGCCCATAGCAAGATTGCAGCTCTTCTCAAACTGAGAAGAGAAAGATCTTTACTTAAAGCAGTAAAAGATAAAACTTCTATCATTTTTCCTGAATTCACAGAAATTTGGATTTCATGAGGAAATTAAGCTTAACTGGCACTTTCTGCCTTGAAAAAGGCCATGTACTTTCCCTCTTAGTCCTCACTGTGCAGTCCTTCTTTCCCTTGTGCTGGCTCTGGTACTCATGTCACTTGTTAGTGAGCTGATTCAGGTCACTAGACAGAGAGAAAAGTATCCACTCTTTAACTGGGTGAGTTTTCTGTCAACTTGGGAGAGATGAGAGTTGAAAAGCACTAGCACCAGCTCAAAGAACAAGATTGCACAGCCAGGAATGGGGAGAAGGATTTGGACAACTTCTTTCAGCAATAGTGAACTGCTGTATCAATTCAGTTTTCTCAAAAAATCTGAACTTAAATGGTAGCCATTACGCAAATGGTGGCCTATATGGAATGAAGTAACGTCAGTTATTTTTTCTGGCAGGCAACTACACAAATTACTTAATCTGTACCACAACACACACTAATTTACACATTTTATGTAAAAATCAAGATTTTCAGATTCAGTGAGACAGCAACACCTGTCTCTAATGATAGACAAAATGCAGAAATAAAAACTAGCCTTAAAGTAACACCAAGCCATAACAAGAGCAATTACCTTGCTCACCAGAAAACAGTGCTGTTCAGCCTCTAGTGCAGGTTCACATGAGCTCTACACCAACAAAAGCTAACACGATGTAATCCCAATAGTAGCTAAACCTGATTTCAAATAAGTTCTCCCTAAATCTGTTAGTGTTAAGACTAATTAAAAATACTACAACAATTCAAAATATTTAATGAAAATTCTAGATAAAAATGCAGTCTCCCAGGTGATGGCTGATATTCCACACTGAAAGTAAACACATATAAAATGTTGAGACCACATTGTTTCTAGCTTTGATTATGAGAATGCCATTTGAAATAGTGTCATAAGCATTACTAAAGTGAAGATAAATGGCATGTCCTGCTTATCCTCTATCCAGTTCATTATCTCATACAGAAAGATTATTCAACATATTGGCTGCTACTTACATCCTTGTATTGGGTTTGCGTGGTGGTGGGGCTACAGGGGTGGCTTCTGTGAGAAGCTGCTAGAAGCTTCCCCCATGTTCGATGGAGCCAATGCCAAGAAGGACCTGCCGCTGGCCAAGGCTGAGCCCATCAGCGATGGTGGTAGCACCTCTGGGATAACAGAGTTAAGAAGGGGGAAAAAAACTGCTGCAGAGCAGCAGCTGGGAGAGAGGAGTGAGAAGATGTGATAGCAAGAACTCTGCAGACCCCCAAGTCAGTGCAGAAGAAGGAGAAGGAGGAAGTGCTGCAGGCCTGGAGCAGAGATTCCCCACTAGCCCATGGTGAGGCCGGCTGTCCTCCCATGGAGGCCCACGTTGAATCAGATCCCCACCTGCAGCCTGGGGAGGACCCCATGCCGGGGCAAGGGGATGCCCAAAGGAGGCTGGGACCCCATGGGAAACCCATGCTGGTGCAGGCTCCTGGCAGGACCCCATGGAGAGAGAGAAGCCCAGGCTGGGGCAGGTTTGCTGGCCGGGCTTGTGACCCTGCAGGGGACCCAGGCTGGAGCAGTCTGTGCCTGAAGGGCTGCACCTCGGAGAAGGGACCCATGATGGAGCAATTCATGAAGAAATGCAGCCCATGAGGACTCACGTTGGAGAAGTTCATGGAGGACTGTCTCCTGTGGGACGGACCCCACGCTGGAGCAGAGGAAGAGTGTGAGGAATTCTCCCCCTGAGGAGGAAGGAATGGCAGAGACAACGTGTGATGAACCGACCACAAACCCCATTCCCCGTCGCCCTGTGCCACTTGGGTGGAGGAGGGAGAGAAATTGGGAATGAAGTTGAGCCCGGGAGGAAAGGAGAGGTGAGGGGAAGGTCTTTCAAGATTTGGTTTCATTTCTCATTACCCTACTCTGATTTGTTTGGCAATAAATTAAACTAATTTCCCCAAGTTGAGTCTGTTTTGCCTGTGACAGTAACTGGTGAGCGATCTCTCCTTCTCCTTATCTCAACCCATGAGCCTTTCATTACATTTTTCTCTCCCTTGTCCAGTTGAGGAGGGGAGTGATGGAGCAGCTTGGTGGGCACCTGGCATCCAGCCAGGGTCAACCCACCACAATCCTTGTTTTCTTTTTAATTATAATTCAAGGCCTGCAATTCAGCAACTCCTCCAATAGCATTCAAAAATAGAAATTGTATTTGTATTTTCTACTCTTCCAGATCTTTCTTTCTTTCCTTCACTGTCCTCTACCAGTTCTCATAGACACTAATAGTCCTAACACTTCATCAGCAAGCTCTGAAAATACTCTGCAGGCACAATCACCCAAATCACCTAGGCATACACTAGTCTGCCTTTTCCCTAGGTAAAGCTGAAATCTAGTCACTGTTTTCAATTACAATAGTCATGAGATTTCAGTGCTCCTTCTGGGTGAAGATTAATACAAAAATTCTAAAAATTTTCCCCTTTCTCAATATCAGCTATGACTAGCTTTTCCACTTCATCAAGTAATCAACCAGCCCTTCTCTTGGGCTTCTCATAACTATTGAGATAATTAAGAAAAATCTGTATTACTCTTGATAATTCTTGCTAGTTGTATCTTGCTGTGTACCTGATTTTTTCAGATTTTGTCTCTACATTCCCATTTTACAATTGTGCACTGATCCTAAAAACCTGTGAGGCATTCAGAAGCTCAGGATTTAGCCAAAATGGTGCCTTACTACACTTTCAATCTTCTGCAATGAGAAACTGGCCTTTTTATCTGTAAGAACATCTTTTTTACTTTTATCTTCCAGATTTTACCTATCAGTTTCAAATCTACTGACAGTTGTCTTCCTGTAATCCACCGTTAACTTAAAATAATACATTCATTTTTAAGGCTTCATTGCAGGATTTTTGGCACTTAATATGCAGGCACTCAGACATTGCTTGTTGTATCTCCAATAGCTTTGCAATGTGATATATGTTTCCATCACTCCTACAAAGAAGGAAATTGAGGTACTTTACCTCTTATTCAGTGGGGGAAAACAATCACACAACTTTCTAGACTTCAACAATCCAGAGAAATTGCAGTGCTTGGAATGCTAAGAACTAGATCTGTTGCCTCTAGGTTCCTAGTTCTCTGTTTCAGCAACTTGGTATCAAAAAGTAGTATTTAAATTGTTATACTATTTAAGATGTGAACACAGATTAAGATGCAGATGTTTTCCCCGTAACTACAATAACTACAGGTGTTTCTCTTAATAACCTTTCATTTTTTCCTGTAATATCAGTTCTTTTCACTAGGAAAGTAACAAGCTTCAAAGTTTCTTATAAGAACCATTAATCTGATAAACATTTAAAATAGGAAAAAAAAAATCAGATTTCTATCACCATTCAGCCCTTACATAATTTTGAAGTACTTTTGTATCATTAGAAGCCCAAGATCAATGAACTGATGTGACAAATCAGATGCTATCTCCTCCATTTTCTCTTCTGCAAGAACAATCGTCTTTACTTATATGATGAAACTGTAAGCACTTACAAGACTAACTTGCAAGAAGTTAGCCTTCCCCCACAACTGTGTATTTAGCTGCTATGCTTAAACTGAGGGGCCTGGGAAACGTTTCTTGGCTCTAAGTCCAGTACATACCCTGGGGATATGAAGACAAGATGTATGTGTACAATAGCCTTCTTCCCCTTTGCTACACTTAAATAGAAAGGAAAGCTGGCCATCTCAGCTGCAATGGAGACATGATACCAGACAGTTTCAATGTAGTCTGCAAAGGGAATTCTGCTGTAATCTATTTAATCATCAGTGTGCCTCATCCACCTCCTGACAGAAAGCAGGCTTCCATCAGCTTTCTCGTAGTTGATTCTGGCAAACAAAAAATTAAAAGATTCTGCATTTCACATCTTCCTCAGAAAACCAAATTAAAAAAACACCTTTGTGATGACAAACAGTCTGAATCTTACAGGAAATCAAGTAGATTCGAAAATCTTAATTCGAAAATTTTCATAAAAAGTCCTGAAATTTGCTAAATTCCCTGTTTTCAAACAGAATTCTGTGGTATTCTTCTTGGGGGTTCAAACCTGTCTAAAAGTAAGATTTTGATCCACCTCCAATAATTCCTGAAATAGACAACAGTCCACTCTGAAGGCTACCCAAAGTGAAGGGGCCTGAGACTTACACTTTCTTAAGGTCTGAGTTTAAAAAACAACGAAATGACAGATTATTTCATAAATACATTAAAATGAGCAAAACACATCATAATATGGCATTAAATATCTATATATTCTATACTAACCAATAAGAAGAAGGGTTCCAACAGCTACACCTCCACCTGGAAACAAAACAAAATGAAGAATAAAGTAAGACTACATTTTAATACTATGTTAGAGAACAATTAAGTTTTCTTAGTTTATAAGTCAAAGAAAGGTGATAACAGGGAATTTAAAAATATCAAAGTGAACAACATTTTAATTACCTTTGCATACTTCCTACAATTCCCTATTATGAAATAATTATACATTACATATAATTATATATTACACATTACAATTACTTTCACAATACACTATACTATCATCATTGTGGTAAAAAGATCCTGCAGAGCTCTACACAACTATGCTCAAGCACTACAATAATGATGCATGGTCTGAGCCAGCAAATTTTCACTTGGATGACTCAAGTGAGTAAACATTCTCCAAATTAAATCCGTATTAATCACTATCAAGTGATACTCCTTTGTACCAAGAATCATGTATGTAAAGCAACCTACTAAGAGGGCAGCAAATTCCTACCCAAGTCAATGAGGCAAAATCCTGTCTCCGCTGGTTTTTATCTTATTACTGAAAACAGACAGGTAGGATTTCATCCAATGAAACCTGGACTGACAGATCATGAACATCATAATACACATATTACAGTCTTTTAAAATATGTCTTGGACATAAAAACAACTCTATGAATGCAGTTGATTGAAATACTTGTTCAAAAATTAAAATACATTTTGACAGATTTATACATGGCCACTATTATTTTTCTTTCTTTTTGCTTAAACAATTACAATCAATTCTTATGTTCCAATCACAGATGAGTGAATGAATAATAGACAGAATAGAATAGTCCCAATGTATTGTGATACACAGATTCTTATCCCATTGATCTCAACAGTGTGGAGGACCAGAAAAAAAAATAAAAATCTATGAACTCCCATCCTGACTGCTTATTTCCTCCTTGAAGCGACAGCAAGCATAATTATGTAACAGTGGTTTAAACGGCTGTCCTAAGAAGGAATTTTTACAAAGACAGTGAAAGAAGAATTCATATTTTATTTCAGCTGAAGAGTAAACTGGTCTATAATCTGAATTTCAAGACTGAAAATAGTGGAGTAACTTGAAATCAGACTACAAATGTTTTGTTGACCAATCATATAAGACAGGCAAGCTAAAAATTCCTGGAAGTGTTCGGATGGCCATATGTAACTAGCCTATTGCAGTATTTTGCATGAAGGAAACTGCAGCATGTCTTCTGCAATTATACACTGGTTTAAAAGCAAGTTAGGAGCAAACTGGATCACATCAGCACAATATCCAAAGCTCTTGATAAAGGAAGTAAATTCTGGACCGCATAGATGGACTCCAGTGAACAGGATAATTTAGTCAATCAATTTAAGAGCTCATTAAACTTCACTTGAAATTGATTCCAATAGGGATTGGATCGACTTCTTAATCTTTAGCTCTGCTGGTGGGACTGCGAATGCCTGTAGCACCTGTAACTTTGATATATATCCAGAGGGAAGAGAAAAAGCAAATTTCTCTCTCATAGGTCAAAAAGTGCTAATATTGTTGCATAGTAACACCTGAATTAAACCCACAACAGAATCCCTTTGTCATCATGCCATGATATACCACAATTTGAGCAGTACACCACAGTGCAAATCTTTAGTCGGCTCCTAATTTCATAGTTGTAGTTCAACACATCACAGATTTTTTTAAGCTATACTCCTGAGTCAAGATGTACAAATGCCTCAATATTTACTGCAAGGTTACCAAGTAATCAAGCATTTCCCAGATATTTACACCCCACCTCCCCCCCACCCCCCCACACAACATCTGTTTT